AGGAATAATACTCGGCAGGAACGAAAAAAAGGGAATAAGTGATTGATGCACGTAAACATATAGATGAATCTCAAAGTAATTATTCTGAAGAAGCCAGATGAAAATGAGATTTATAGAAAAATAAATTATATAAAATTCTAGGGGATACCAAAAATTAATTAAAAACAAAACCCCACCGTTGAATTTCATAGTCAAACTGCTAACAACCAAAGATAAAGAGAAAAAACTGAAACCAGCTAGAAAACCACATCACATTGTCTACAGGGAAATAATGATTTGAACAACCACTAACTTTTCATCCGAAACAATGGAGGCCACAGATGATGGAATGATCTCTTCCTAGTGCAAAAGGATAAAACTGCATACCTAGAATTCAACAGCCAGTGAAAACACCTTGCGAAAATAAAGGCAAAAGAATGACTCTCCCATTTTCTGGAGGAAGAAAACAAGGCACAGAGAGGTCGGGCCACTTGCCCAAGCCACACAGCCAGCAAGGGCCCAAGCTGGGATTTGAACCCCAGGGTTGCCTGATCTTAATGCTCTGGGGTTCTGTGAATTTTATCGCATCCTCGGACTGCCAGGTGCTGAAGATTACCTCCATTTCTCAGATAGGCAAACTGAGGCTGAAACAGGCCAAGCAGCTTGCCCGAGGTCCACAGTGAGTCACCAGAAGAAGTGAGATGTATTATATCACTTAATCTTTCCTAAGGACCCACTGGTGCACCTTTAGGACACCCTGGGAGTAAAGGTGGGCACTCCCAGTAATGATTTCGGGACAAGAGACATAAGCCAGGATGGATGGGTGTCTTATTTTACAGAGGCTCAGAGGGAAGCGGCATCTTGCCCTAAGGTCCTCCCAGGTTCGGAGTTGAGCTGGGATATCACGTGTTACTGATTCCTCCCTGCGACCACGGGGAGCGTGGATTACCATCCTGATTTCCATGCTCGGGAGTAACCCGTGGTGCCTCACCTGGTCGAACTTGCGCTGCTTCTTCTCCAACGTGCTCACGAGCTGCCGCTGCTGCTCCAGGTCCATGGTGGCGTCGTCCAGCTCTTGCTGCAGCCGGCGGCGGCCTCGCTCCAGCCGCTCTACCACCTCCGTCTTTTCTGCCAGGCGCTGGGTCAGGGCCTCAGCTTCTCGGGCTGCCCGCCGCCGGGCCTCCTCCCCTGCCTCCAGTGCCCCTGCCTCCTCTTCCTGGCGCCGCCGCCACTCTGAGAGCTGGGAGGGGATGGGGAGGAGAGAGAGGGAGGATGGCACTCATGGCTGTGACCAAGGGGGAAGTTGGTAGGGTCCCCATTTCCCAGATTAGGAGACTGAGGCCTGAAGAGGGAAATACTCACTCCACTGGGTGCTTCTGCCTCAGAGTATGGATGAGGTTGTGAGTTCTATGAGCCCTAGCTCCTCCAGGGGATTAAAATTGTTCCCACTGGGACCGAGAAGATGAATCAGATCTGGGCTCTGTCCTGGGAAACCCTCAGCCTGATGAGGGAGACTGAGAACCACAGCCAGGGTGACAGAGACTAAGGTAGAAATATGGGAGCCATGGGAGTCCATGGGAGAGGTTCAAAATCTGTTTAGAACTTTCAAGAGAGACTTCCTAGAAGAGGGGGCATTTGCAATGGATCTTAAAGTATGCATAGGAGTTTTCAAGTTAAAGAAGGATATTCTCAGACATGCATTCATCAGTCATTCATTCAACAAGCATTTCTGAAGGCCCTCCGTACATCAGGTCCTATGTTGGCCTATGCTGGGGACCCAGGTGTAACTGTGATGGAGTCCCACTTTCAAGGAGCTCCCAGTCTGGTGGGGGGACTCATGGGCAAAGACAGTTCCAGCAAGGGAGACTGGAGTGCGGACAAAGGAGAAAGAAGGGTTGTGGGAGCTCAGAGGTGGGAAGTTAGGGTTTTTTTCAGAACAGGAGAGGCTAATGCTAAGTTCTGAAGAAGGAAATGGGTTTTTCCAAGTGAAGCTGGGAAAGAGAGGTGAGAGATAAACACAGCTAAAGATGAGGGGAAAACCAGAGAATGCAGGGCCTCCAACACCCAGCTGAGACGCATGGGTTTTCTCCAAGGGAAGCTGGGGAGCCACGGGAGGGAAGGGCAGGGTCAGCTCTGGGGGTAGAAAGACCAGGTGAAGGATTGAGCTGGAAGGGGAGAGGCTAGAGGCAGGGAGGTTTGAAAGGAGGCTGCGATGAGGATTCAGGTGGCAGAGGATGAGGTTTGAGCAAGGCTGGGGCCGTGTGGATAGAGAATCGGGGACAGGAGGGACAGGGCTCTGCACAGATAGGCTCTGGGGCACAGGGAGAGACAGAGGTGGGTATGGCTTGCAGGGGTCTGGCCTATTATACACTGGGCCACAGGGCCACCCCGAGCCAGGGGACCCAGGAGGAGCAGGTTGGTAGACTAGGTGTCCTCTTGAGACCCCCCTCCAGGACTGTTCACCTGGGCCTGGGCAGTCTGCAGCTCCCGGCCTGCACGCTCCCTGGCAGTCGCCTCCTCCTCCAGCTGCTCCCGCAGCCCTGCCGCCTCAGCCTCCAGGGCTCGTGCCCGGGAGCCCAGGGCCAGCTTCGCCCTGGTCTCCTCCTGCAGCAGCTCCTGGAGATGGATGGGAGAATGGATGTTAGGTGTGGGCAGAAGGATGGGGAAGCCTGGGGGTGTGGAGGGGTGGGCAGGTGGTGAGGGGTCACCTGGGCATCGTGTAGCTGGACCTCCATGCTGGTCAGCTCCTTGCTCAGCCTGATGGCTCTGGACTCGGCCTCGCTCAGTGCCCCGGACACATTCTCGAGTTCAGCCTGTGGGGGAGGGACACCTTCTAACAATGGCTTACAGCCAGCTGCCCCGTTTGCTCCCCCACCTCAAATCCCCACCATGCACTGCTGGTGGGAACGTGAAATGATGCAGCTGCAGAAGACAGCTCCTTAAAGTGATGAAAGGTAGAGTCTCTGAACAGCCCAGCAATTCCACTCCGAGGTGCGTACCCAAGAGAAATGAAAATGGATGTCTATGCAAAAACGCAGACAGGGATGTTCGCAGGAGCACTGTTCACAGTAGTTGAAAGGTGGAAACAACCCAGATGTCCATTCCCAGATGATGGCTAAACAAAATGTGGTCTCATTAGGAATATCATTTGGAAATGAAAAAATAGCAAAAGACTGATAGATGTTACAATGCCGATGAATCTTGAAAACGTTCTGCTGAGTGAAAGAAGCCAGACACCAAAGGGCAAGTATGGTCTGACTCCATATATATGAAATGTCCAGAATAGAAACTCTAAAGAGACAGAAAATAGATCAGTGATTGCTGGGGCGGCCTTGGTATCATTGGGGAATGGGAGCTAAGGAATACAGGGTTTCTTTTCGGGGTGATGAAAATGTCCTAAAATTAGGTTATGGTGGTGACTATATAACTCTGTGAATATATTAAAAATCACTGAATTGTAACTTTTAAATGGGTGAATTCTATGGTATGTGTTATATTTCAATCCAGCTATTCCCACCGCACCCAAATCACCACCATGATGATACTGGGTACAGCCCCTGGCCACGGGTTTCTTTGCTGTAGGAGTCAGGAAGTGGTTCCCCACCGTCCTCCCCATGGACTATTGCCTTCACCAGAGGAGGACCTCTTCTGCTTTGTCCCCTGCTGGGACCTCAGGGCCCATGAAGGGGCCTGACACACAGTAGGTGCTCAGTGAATGTTTCTTGGATGACTGTCTCCAGCCCACATGTGTTAACCTGCAACTCCTTCTCTCCCTTTTCAAGGTTCACTAAACAAGCCAGATTGGGTTCACATTCTGGCTGGTAAGAAAACTGGTCTGGAAACTTGGAAATAACACGAGGCAATGACCGAGCGTCCTTTTGATGGGACAGGACTGTCTAACAGGCCCACCTCAGGCTCACCTCACTATCCAAGGGAAGCAAACTCTCGTTGACCTACCCTGTGAAGTTATGCGAAGAAGACGGCTGAGTTGCAAATGATTTCTGCCCAGCAGAGAAGATCAAGTTCTGCTTTGTGCCTGGCATGTATCTTGTGCTCCATAAATAGGTACACCTGTCAGTTCCTGAGAGCTTGCTGTGAGTCCAGGAACTACGCTAAAAGCTTTACAAGTACAGGCTAACTGAATCCACACACCAAGTCTATGTGGTAGATACCATTATTATTCTCAGTTTACACAAAGGGAAGCTGGGGCACAGAGAGGTTAGGCAATTTGCCTAAGGTCACATAGCTCTGCAGGGTGAAACTGAGATTTAAGCCCAGGCAGAATGGCTCTAGAGCTGTATTCTTCAACAGGGTAGCCACTAGCCTCAGGTGGCTATTTAAATTTAGAGTAATTAAAATAAAAATCCAGTTCCGTTGTACTCGCCACATGCTGTGTGCCTGACAGCCAGGTGGATAGTGCAATTACAGGACATTCCCATCATGGAAGAAAGTTCTTCTGAATAGTGCAGCCTAGAACTCCTGTTATCAGCCACCAAACTCTACTCTTGATGTCACTTTTATTTATGTAATATATAAAGTGCTTAGTACAGGGACCACTACGTAGCATGATTCCCCTGGGGCAGACCCTAACTGTCCCTCCAAATCCATTCTCCTGATCCCATGACAGGCTGTTAAGTAAGTTCATGGCTGCCAGCTACAAACTACATTTCCAAGCCTCCTTTGCAATTGGCTGTGGTCATGTGATGATGATATGGACAATGGAATGCAAGCCAAGTGATGTATGCAAAGTTTGTCTCTTCCTCTCTTTGCTCCTTCCTGAGCTGGAGCACATATGTGCCCACCATCCAGATTTTACTCTGAAGGTGAGGTCAACCTCCTCAGGGATGATGGAGTGATCTCATGGAGCACAGTGTCTTGCCAGCCTCGACTGCTTACTCTGAGCCTATTTCTTGAGAGGGAAAGGCGCATGTCTTTTATTCAAGCTGATGAATTCTGGGGTCTTTTTGTTATAGCAGCTTAACTTTTACCCTAACTAATACACTATTTTAATCTGGAAATTAAAAACTATAATGGTCTTCTTCCCTGTAGGGTTAGGGAATAAAAAGCCATTCTTTCCGCTTGTTTGTATTCTCAATAATAAACAGGGATTGGTCAGTTAAAAAAAAATAACAAAATTACAATGAAAAAACCCACATGTTTTTAGAAGTCACAGTGTGATGCTGTCCTCACACAGTTCCAAGTATTCATACTGGGTTTTTCTAATCAGACTGTAGATTATTTAAAGCCAGAAGATAAGAAGGTAGAAGGTGGACGCTGTGGAAGAGTTAAGAGCTACAGGGTCAGTCATGCCTGGATTCGTTGGAGCTTTGGCTCTGAGGGACCTTAGACAATCAACTTCACCTCCCTGGGCCTCAGTTTCCTTGTGTGTAAAATGGGAACAATATTAGCACTTCTCTCAAAGGAGCATCAGGAGGCTTTAGTAACACAGGATGTTTGGTGTATAATAACCATTCATCAAATACTAGCTATTTATGTGTGATTATGTAAGAAAAGTTGGAAGGGGCAATAGGGTTGATGTGGATCAAACAGAAGCCCAGAGAGGGTAGGCATCTCACCCAAAGTCACACAGCAGAGACCACCCCTGACCTGGCTATCCCACTCACCTGGGCTCGCTGCAGCTTCTCAGCAGCCTCTGCTCGTGCCCGCTCCCCGTCACCAGCCCGGCCCTGCACCTCCTGCAGCTGTGACTCCAGGCGGCGCCTCCGCTGCTCACCCTCTTGACGCGCAGTCTGCACATTGCTTAGCTCCGTCCGCAGCTCAGACACTTCGGCCTCCAGAGCCAAGCGGGTCTTCTCCCATGCACTTTTGCCCTGGTTGAGGAGAGAGACAGCATCTATTTATGACTCTCTTTCTAATCAGGTCAGGCATGTGCATGCCCCAGAACCTTTGCACTATCTATCCCCTCTAAAACTTCTCACTGTTCCTTAAAGACCCAGGCACACTCTTGCCTCAGGATACTTGCACTGGCTATTCTCTCTGCCCAGAATATGTTTCCCCATAATGCTGGGATGGCTCACCCATCACCTCCCTCAGTTTTTCACTCAGAGGCCACTTTTCACAGAATCTCTCCATGGCCTCTCTATTTAAAATCACAACACACCCTCCCCCACCAGCATTTTCCCAGCACTAATGACCCCAGTACACATTATGAACGTGTTTAGATTGTTTACTCTCTGCCTCATCTGCTAAAATGTGAGCTCCATGAGGGAAGGGGGTATTGGTTGTTTGGTTCACAGCTGGGTTCCCAGTACCATCCCAGGGACAGAGTATGTATTCAATGAATGCTTGCTGAATGAAAGATGGGACAGGACCATAAATATATGAGGAGAGAACCCCAGAGAGATGGGCTGGTCTGGAAATAGCCAGAGGTCCTCCTCCAACCCAGCATCCTGCTTCCCCTCTGCATGGCTCCCCAGAACCCCCTGCCCCCACCCCCACTCACCCTCCGGGCTTGTTCCAGCTGCTCCGCCAGCTCTCCCAGTGCCTGGCCGTGGCGCTGCCGCAGCTCCTGCACCGCCACCTCGTGAATGCGCGTCTCCTCCTCTAGTGCCTTCTTCAACTCTGTCACCTCTTGTTCCCTCTTGGAACTTTTATAGGGGGAGGGGGACAGGAAACAAAATTTCAGACTAGAGGAAGTCTGGGACTTTGGAGGAGCCCCCAACTACTGGTTGTGCCTCCTTTTATTCTTTCCCTCTAAGGATGGGGACCTCACTCTACATTCCCCCAGGGGTCTGGGTGGTGATGTTGCAGGAGGAGTGTAGCTTTAAGGGTGAGCTCCTATCCATCTTTCAAAACCCTATGCAAAAGGCCCCTTCTCAAGGAAGCCTTCTTGGACTCCCACCCATAGATATGGTCCAGGGGCCTTCTCTTATCATCCATGATGCCCTGTGCTACTCCATTAAAGCTCACTTTGTTCTGAACTGGCTCTTGTCTTTGGCTGAATCTTCCTGTCCCCAGCCTGGGAGTTCCTGAGGGCAATGCCTGAGTCTGACTCAACTCTGTCCCTGACTTGGGGACAGTGCCCACTAAACAGTTGTTGAATGACTAAACATTCATGCAGATGGAGAGCTTGGATCCAAATCCTTCTCTCCCCCAACCCAGCCCTGCATGTGCCCGCCCCGCACCAGCAGCAGGCAGCCCAGCCTCACCGGAGCTCCTGCTGTGCGTTGGTGGAGTCCAGAGTGTCCTCCAGCTCGCCCCGCAGTGCCTCGAGTTCCTCACCCAGGTCCCGGCGCTGCTTCTCCGCCTTGGCCCTGGCTGCTCGCTCAGCCTCCAAGTCCTCCTGGGCCTCAGTCAGCCCTGCCTGCGCCTCCCGCAGGGATTTGAGCAGCTGCGTGCGGGCCCCACCCTCCTCCTCTGCCCTAGTGGGTGGACAAGGACCAGAAGGTTGGTACAGGGGCAGGCAGGGCTCAGGAATGATTTCTGGGGCTGATGGGGTCAGACGTGGACTTTAGGGGTGGCCCATCCCTGGTTCAAATCCCAGCTCTGGGGAAGGGGGAGGGATAAATTAGGAGTTTGAGATTTGCAGATACACATTACTATATGTAAATATATAGATAAAAAAATTAGGTCCTACTGTATAGCACAGGGAACTATATTCAATAGCTTATACCTATGATGATAAAGAGTATGAAAAAGAATATGTATGTATAACTGAATTACTATGCTGTACACCAGAAACCAACACAACATTGTAAATCAACTATATTTCAATTCAAAAAAAAAAAGGAAAACAAAAAAACTCCAGCTCTATCCTTGGGCATGCGCCTCCAGTACTCAGAGGCTCAGCTTTCTTAGCTGTAAAATGGGAACTGACACCACCAGTAATCACAGGGACACTTACTAAGTTCCTGCCACTCAGGAGCCCTTTATTTTATCATCTCACATAAAGTTTATGCCCAGCAAGGAAACTGAGGCACAGAGCAGGAAAGTACTTGCCCTGGTTACATGGCCAGTGAGTGGCAGAGCCAACCCCAGGATCCCTCCTCATAACCCCTATGGGAACTGACTCTTCCAAAGAGAATCTGAATGGAGGGGCAGTGTGGACTGTGGGTTGAACAGCTCAGGGAGATGTGCCGATCACGGTTTGTATCCCCTCCTGGGCCACCTGCCCTGGCAAATGACACCTGCTCTGAACTACAGCTCTTGGTCTGTGGGAGGGCAGTCCCACCCCACTTCACAAGGCTGCCATGAGGAAGGCAATGAGAATAAGAGCCCGAAAGGCTGTGTGTTACATGATTCCACTTCTGTGAAATAGTAAGAATCGGCAAATCCTACATGGATGGAAAGCAGTTTGGTGGTTGCCAGGAGCTGAGGGGAGGAGGGAAACGGGGAGTGATTGCTTAATAGGATTTTTTTTATTTTTGGAGGTGATGAAAATGTTCTGGATAGAGGTAGTGGTTGCACAACATCGTGAGTGTGCCGAACGCCACTGACTTGTACACTTAATTAAACAAATTTTTTTAATTAACTAAGCTCTACCCACTTCCCTAAATTGTACTTTAAAATGGTATCTTTTATGTGTATTTGACCTGAATAGAAAAGAGAAGGGGGAAAAAATAGCAAAAATAAAAAGTAGGGGGGAAGGTATAACTCAGTGGTAGAGCGAATGTTTAGCATGTACAAGGTCCTGGGTTCAATCCCCAGTACCTCCATTAAAAAAAAAGGTAGGAACAGACATGCAGCATCTATGGAGGGCTTAGGGTGTGCCAAGCACATTATAAGCACTTTCTTATTTAATCCCCACACTAACCCCAGTAGTGGCTTCTATAATCACCCCCATTTTACAGATGGAGAAACTGAGGCTAGAGAGGTGCTGTCACTTGGGTGAGGTCACATGGCCCAAAAGGGGATGAGTTGGGATTGGAACTCAGAAATCAGGCTCCAGGGTGCGTGTTGTTAACCACCCTCTGCGAGCCCCATGTCCCATCGATTCCAAGATGCATGTTTTCCCTACATTTTAACATCTCTGAAATCAAGCTGCACCCATACACAAGGGCTCCTCGGATCGCGTGAGTCACAGTGGGTAAAAAGCATTTGAAACACTGAGTGCTTTATCTGGCACACAGTTGGTGCTCAATAATTGTGAATGACTAGTTATAAGGATTATGATTCCTGATAAACAGAAAAGTCCTACTGTATAGCACAGGGAACTATACTCAAAATCTTGTAATGGCCTATAATGAAAAAGAATATGAAAAGGGGAAAAAATATATATAACTGAATATACATATATATAACTATGCAGTACACCTGAAATTAACACAAAATTATAAATCGACTGTACTTCAATTAAAAAAATTATGATTCAGAAGACAGTCAGACCACTTATCAAATCACAGTGGCTTCTGGGTGGTTGGGTTTTGAGAGGCTGAGCAGGAGGAGAAGAAATACCACTTTCTAGCACCCAGGATGCACTCAGAACCGTGCAAGTTACTAGACATCTAGGGCCTGGTTTCGGTTCAGCTTTCTGGTAATCAGGTAGGTTTGGAACTCTCTGTCCATATTACAGAAGGGGACACCGAGGCTCAAAGTGGGGTGGCGTGTGCATGGCTTGGGAGCGGCTGGGCCAGGCTCTGTACTCAGGAGGGTCTCGCTGGGGCGCCCCCACGCTGGCAGCCCGCCCCCGCACCTGGCCAAGGCGGCCTGCAGCTCCTCCTCCTTGCGGCCCAGCTGGACCCGCAGCTCCTCCACCCGCTGCTGCTGCTCTGCCATCTGCTCCTGCAGCTCCGAGCCTTCCACGTCCAGCCGCCGCTTCAGCTTCTCTAACTCCTGGCGGCCCTTCTCCTCCTTCCGGAGGCGGTCTGGAGGCAGGAGCGGGGGCCAGTGCGCAAGGGAGCCGACCCACTCGCCCTGGCACTTGGGGGCTAAACGCTGAGCTGTGCATCTTTCCACCCTGCCTCCTCTTTCCCGTTTCCCCTTCCCTGGGCCCACCCACTATCCCCAAGACTCGGTGCCAGACCCCATTTGCTGTCCTCCCCTCCTCCCCGCCACCCGGTGACAGCCCCTGCTCCAGCTCGCTGGCTCTCTCTGCCCTGCCTTGTCCTCCCTGCCTCCCCAGCCTCTTCCTGGGTTCTCTCCCTTCTGTTTCTGCGTCTGAATCAATAGCAAGGGACAGTGAGACTTAAAAAACAAACAAACAAACAAATAAACACGAAAGTTAGCGGGACCATCAGATAGAGTGACCCAAGACATGGTGAGACAGTAAAAGAATTGGACTTGAGGACACAGAAATAACTTCAGAGCTGAGAGGACACCTGTTCTGTGCCAGCTTTCCTGCCCCATTTAGCAGATATGACCACTGAGTCCCACAGCGCCTGAAGTCCCCCTCAACCCCGCTCCCCGCTGGAGCATGCGCAGCTCTCCACTGGGGGGCGGGCACTCACCCTCCATGTCCGCAATTGTGGCCTCGTATTTGAGCCGAAGCTTATTGAGGCTCTTGACTTTCTCCTCCTCCTCGGCCGCCTGGGATGAGAACTCAGCCAGACGCTCTTCCAACAACTTCCGCTCCTGAGGGTGGTGGTGGTGTGGGGGGAGGTCAGGAGTGGGCCAGTGGCAGCTTCCACCTGACCCTCACCTTTGGCAGTGCCATTCCCATCTGCGTTCCCGCTCATCTCCACCCTTCCCCGACACTCCTGCTCCCACTCCGTTGCCTCCTTTCCCATGCTCTAGGGTCCACTGACCCAGCCCACCCCTATCTGTCCCCACCTGTTCACTGCCGTGGAGACTTCCACTATTTGAAGGACACCCCCATTCATTAACCCATCACCAGACCGTTGGACAGTGAGCCTGACTCGAATCATTTGCTATCACAAACAACACTGCAGCGAACATCCTCCATCTGCTGCGTTCCCGCGTGAGTCCTGGGCCCTTGTTCCTACTTCAAGGAGGGTTCATGGACCAATGGTGCATAAGCACCAAAGGGGATCTTGTTAGAAATGGCATCTCTGATTCTACCCCAGACCTGCCGAATCAGAATCTGCATATTAACAAGTTCTCCGTGTGACTCGTGGGCACAGGAAAGTTTGAGAAGCCCTGGCCTGGAGCAGTGCTATTCAACCTGTGAGAGGTTCTGGAAATCAGTGCAGTGGGTCGGCACTGCCTTCAAAGGAAAGAAAGAAACAGAGTAGAAGAGCCACTGCATCAAAGGAATGCTCCTCAAAACTCTGGTGCAGCCTTGAGCTCTCAACTCTCAGGCACTGTTGCCTCTGGGAAATCTGCCCTGACCACCTCTAGAACAGGTCAGGCCACCCCGATTGGCAGTTTTTTGTTCTTTTCTAACAGTTTATAATTAGTTCACAACGTGTGATTATGTTTATTTCCTGGGGTGACTCATCCAGCATCCCCTTTCCTTCATGCCTGAGGGCAGAAATTGTTCTCTAGATGATTAAATGCTACATCGCCTGTGCCTAGCTCAGTCCTGGCTGCAGCAGGTTAAAGATAGTGCCAGATCCTTCACTGTGTCCCAGACAGCGGCAGAGTCGCATTCCCCTCCCCTCGAATCTGGGTTGAGTCTGCTTTAAGCTCAGTGGTCTGCAAACCAGAGCCTGCAGGCCAAATCCAGACCACTGCCTGAGTTTATAAAGTTTTATTGGGACACAGCCACGCCCATTCAGTTGGGGACCATCTGCACCAGCGAGCCCACCTCCCCAGCCCTTGGGAGCTCTTGGGCCACTGACCTTGCTCAGCTTGGCGTTCTGATCTTCCAAGAGTAGCAGATCCTCCCCAAACTTCTTGAGCTTGGCCTCTGTCGTTACCTTCTCCAGCTGCAGCTTCTGCCGGGCTCCTTCCTCAGCCTCGAGGTGGGACTCCAGCTCCTGGAGTTGGGGGAGGGGGTAGGCAGGGGTGAGGACCCAAGGCCGGGGTGCGGGGGTGTGGTGGGAAGGATGGGGTGGAGGGAATGGTTCACCGACACCAGCCCCCCAACCCTGGGGCTTGTGCCCCCAACCCTGGGGCTTGTGGCTTAGACGGGTCCACACTATGGGCAAGGCGGGAAAGGATCCACCCCCTACTGGTCCTCCTGTTTCATTCATTAGCTCAATAAGCATTTATTGACATGTTAGAGCTTTGACACGGTTATTAGATTTTAGGCATTAATGAATGGACTATTATGATGACAAACACAATTTGTGTTTTCTCTGAAGCAAAAGAAATATCAATCACAGAGACCAATTTTGTAAATTGTGAAATACTTGTAGTTTTGATTAGCTAAAAAGGTTAGTCTGTATATTTGAATTTAAATTTTCTTAGGTTTAAAATGTTATTTTGAGGGGGGAAGGTATAGCTCAAGTGGTAGAGTCCATGCTTAGCATGCACAAGGTCCTGGGTTCATTCCCCAGTACCTCCTCCAAAAAATAAATAACTAAACCTAATTACCTTCCCTCCAAAAAATAAAATAAAAAAAATAAAATAGAATGTTATTTTGAGAAATTCAGTTGTATAACTTTTTTTTTGGTGGGGAGGTGATTCGGCTTATTTATTCTTAGAGGAGGATTGAACCCAGAACCTCAAGCCTGCTAAGCACGTGCTCTACTACTTGAGCTATACCCTACCCCCATCAGTTGTATAACTTTTAAGAAAAGTAAAATAAATTAACAAGAACCACCCCCCCAAAAAAACCCCCACAAAACAAACCCAAGCATTTATTGAGTGCCTGGTTTGTGCCAGGCACTGTTCGAGGCACCAAGGAGAGACAGAAATCTTTGTCTTTGTGGAAATTACATTCTTGTGTGCGTGTGAAGATAATAAACAATAAATAAACATGTCGTAGAGACAGGCACTGTCTGCTATGGCAGTGACTGGGCACATGTGGCATCTGCAGTGTGAGAATGGAAATTAAGATTCAGTATTTTGCAACAACATGGATGGACCTCAAGGGCATTATGCTAAGTGAAGGAAGTCAGAACCGAGGATAGATACGTGGGATCTCACTTATCAGTGGAATCCAAAAACAAAACAAGAAAAAACCAGCAGCTCAGAGATAACAGAGAACATACTGATGGTCGCCAGAGGTGAGGGTTGTATTGGGAGAGATGGGTGAAATGGGAGAAGGGGGTTAAAGGGGACAAACTTCCAGTTATAAAATAAGTCACGGCTGTGTAATGTACAGCATGGCGACTATAATTAATAATACTCTATTGTGTATTTGAAAGTTGTTAACAGAGTAGATCTTAAAAGTCCTCAATACAAGAAAATATTTTTTTGAACTATGTAAGGTGATAGATGTTAGACTTACTATGGTGATCCCTTTGCAATATATACAAATATCAAATCATTATATTGTACACTTGAAACTAATATATTATAATTATATAATACTATGTTATATATAATATATAAAATATATTACATGTTTTATATACTAAAAGTTATAATATAATGTTATATGTTAATTATACCTCAATTTTTTAAAATTCCACATTATATGTGGCTTTATATGGTAGAATTGGGAGGACCTATAATGGCTTAACCACAAGTCCTCCTACCCATCCTGCTACCAAAGACAAGGTCCCCTAGCCAAATAACCCTCCATATCATGGGGACCATACATGGTACCTACACATCTGTGTGTAGTGAACTTCAATTACCTGCTGGTCCTGCCAGTTATTTAAACAAACCAATCACATCTTCTTGCAGGAACCAGGGGTCACCTTACCCTCCCACAGCTGCGGCTTGTTCACTCCATTCCTGAGTGCAACTCCAGTGTGAGTCTGTGGCATGGTGTCTGCCTCCTTCAGGCTGTGGGGATGTATAACTAGTAACCTGCTGTCTATTGCATCTGTCCAGGATCAGGTGGGGTGTGTTAGGCCATCTTCATAACCCTAGGGCAGGATTCCTCCCCAGTGGGGTCAAGAGGAGGTGACTAAAACACTACTGAGTTCTTAAAATGTAACCAGTATGACTTAGGACCTGAATTCTCAATTTAATTGAATTTCTTTCCAATTTAAAACCAGTCACTCAATCACTGGGAAAATTTTACGTATGTTTGGAACAACTTGGGGGCCTTCATCTACTCTTTTCCACTGAAGATGTTATGAAATACAAATGCAGATAAAGTACTGCCAATGAAAATTTAGCATCTGAATTGAGATGTACCTTAAGTGGAAAATACAAACTGGATTTTGAAGGGGAATCATGGGAGGGCAGCTTGCCTTTGAATGCAGTAGCACTGAGGCAAAGGGAGTCAGGAAAGGGAGAGAGGCACAATACTGAGGCTATCGCTTGAGCACCTGGATCCAGCCATGCCTGAAGCTTATCCATTCTGGAGTCTCCCATTATTTGAAGCAAAGGAAAAAAAAGTATTCTTTTTGTTTAAGCCATTTTGAGCTGAGGTTTTTTTTTTTTCTTCCTCTTTCTTTCTTTCTTTCTTTCAATTCATGGCCAAAAGAGACAGCGTTTGCTGAAGCAAAAGTTGGGGTCAGGTGGAGTAGACAGTAGGGGAAGGTGCCTCAGGAACCCTGGGGCAGGGCCCAGACCTGTATATGTTGCTGCAGCCTCTTCTTCTCTGTCTGCAGCTGGCGGCTGCACTCCTCCTCCTCACCCACACGGGCCTCCAGCTCCGACACCACCAGTTCGAGCTCCTGCTTTCGGGCTGCCAGCCGCACCCGGGTCTCCTCAGCCTCAGAGCACAATTCTGCCTCCGCTCGCAGTTGCTCTGCCAGGCGGGCACGCTCCTCTTCCAGCTGGGGGCGAGATAGGAAGGCAATGGTCATCAGGCGGTGCCCAGGATGGCCCTCAGTGGATCCCCAGGTTCCTCCTGCCCCCTGATTTACTTTGCCATTTGAGGCCTGGGTTGGGGGGAGGGTGGGAGGGTGGAAGACAATCCCCCAACCTGCTCACCATCTCAAGATGACCTTGTATCCCCCTAGTCACAGAGTCAGACCCCTGGGTGCCTCCCTCTTCCTCACCTCCCTACAGCCCATCGTCCCCACTCCACCCGTCCTGCCCCAACTCTCTCTGTCCCTATAACCCTAACGGGCTTAGGCCTCATCTCTCCCAACAGACTCTCTTCCCAACCTCCCAGCCTCGTTGCTTCATCTCCAGTCCATCTTTCAAATAGCCCCAGAGAGGACTTTCTATCATCTTACATTTTGTTTTCTACTCCTACGCCCAGAAATTTAACCATAGGAAATAATTTCGAAAAGGCAAACAGGAAAACGCTCAAGAAGGGGTTTGCTTCAGCACTATTTTAAGATGCCAGAAACAGTGGCAACAGTGAAAAGTCCACCGCCTGTATACGGTAGCCCTGCCACCTAGCCGGGCCCTCCCCTGCCCCGATGGCGGTCCAGCCCCCAGAGAATCTTGGCTCGGAGGCCACCAGCCCAACCCCGACCCAATACCCTGGCTACATCCCCATGACCCTGCTACCTGCACCTCACCGCTCAACCACACCAGTTTCCACCTCTATTCAGGCTCCAGTAAACCTTGGCGCTCCGCCCCCAATCTACCCCGACCCCGCCACCGCTGGACGCCCCGCCCACACCCTGCCCTCACCCAGTGGCCCCGCCCCTTACCTGTGCCACCCGGCCCTGGAGCTCTCCCACCTCGCGGGCACTCTGCTGCTGCAGCTCCTGCACTTTCTGCAGCTCCTGGGCCCGCGCCTGCAGCACCTCATCCTGCCGCGTAACCTGCAGCAGCGGCTTCACCTAGGGGCACAGGCGGGGTGGTGGACCAGTTGGCTCCCACCGTGCCAGGCTTCTGGGCTCAGAAGCTAAGAGCTCCCGCTCTGAGTACAGCCCCATTCTCGGGCTCCCATGCCAGCTCGTCCACTACTGGCTGGGTGAACTCGGACAAGCTCATTAGTGTCCTCATCTATAAAGTGAAGACGATAACAGCCCCTACTTCGCAGGGTTTTCGAAATGAGTGAAGAAGTTAACACTTGCAAAGACCCCAGAACAGCCTGGGTACAAGACAAGCGGCACTAAATGTGTTCCTTTTTTTGCAACGCGATCCTTTTGCAAAGAGAGAGACACGGCTGCCGCTATTCTCTAGCGCGGTGTTCCCCAAAGTTTTTAACCCAAGTTCCAGAGTGAGAGATGCACTTTGTACTGTGTGATTCAGGCTGGAGTGACAGGTGGCATTCGCCCAGAAATAACCAAAACGGAAGTTTCACAAAACCGCCCTCCCCCTTGCTAAGTGTGCTACACTCCGACCGTGTCTGTTCTGTTGCTTTCTGTTGGGTTCTGCTCAGCTCTAATTCGCCTCTCCTCTATTTGATTCTTTTCTATTCGATTATCTCTTTTTGGTACAAATTCATAGCATTGATCACAGCTATAACTTTCTAATAGTTTGTGGGATTTATTCTGGGATGCCTGGTAAGCCACACCCCCTGCCCCCAGACTCTGCTATGGTAGGGGCAGTTTTTCTTAAAGGGCCAGCTAGGAAATATTTGAGGCTTTGCGACTAGTCTGTCTGTTTTAACTACTCCACTCAGCTGCTGGAACGTGAAAACAGCCACAGACAATATAATAATCAATGGGCATTTACAAAAATACTTGTCTGGCCCATGGGCTGCAGTTTACCAACCCCAGCCCTAGACCGTGGGCTCCATGGGGCAGGGCATGGTCTGTTTTTATTTACCATTTTATCACTGGCCCCTCAAAAGTTACTGGCACAGAGTAGGCACTCAGTTAACACTGGCTAAGGGCCTGGAGACTGACAGCTCAGACATCGTATTCAGAATTACACTGAACAGCTGTGTTTTTGCCTCCAAATCTCCATCTTCCTTCCTCCTTTCTGATTTCCCATGGGGGAAACACCCTGCCTCCAAGCTCACACACTTGGCTGTGCCATTCTGGTTTGGGCAGGTGTGTGACACCAGCCTGGCTCATCTAATGTGTCGGGACTGGTTCTGGGATGGTCATATGACTCTGGCTGGAGCTCAGAGATGAGAAAAGACCACACTGGCCTAGCTGGTGGCCCCCCAGGTGGGAAAAGTCTGCAGGGATCATCACCGTGAAAAATCAGATGGCAGGCCCAGAATGTCGAATGACTGACATCATTTTTTGGGCCCTTGTGCCAGAAATGGTTAACTCAGCAGGTCTGGGTTGTCCGAATCCTGCACATTTCAAAGAAAGGACTGGCCCTTGGCCAGCTCCTGGGAGATAATCTCTAAATCCTTGGAATATCCTGCCTGATAAGAGTGACTTTGTTTACCTTGACCTCTGGGGTCAAGGGGCTGGAGTAACTAGGGTCAACCACGTGGACAGTCAGCCATGCCTATGTGACTGACCCTCACAGAAACCCTAGACACTAAGGCTTGGGTGAGCTTCCTTGGATGGCAATATCCACATGTGTTTTCACACATCATTTCTTGAAGAATTAAGCGCTATCTGTATGATTCTCCTGGGATTGGAGAATTGGAAGCTCGTGCTGGGTCTCTCCTGGACTCTGCCCTGTGCACCTTATACCTCTGTTGATTTTAATCTTCATCCTTGCACTGTAATAACCCAAAGCCATGAGCGTAACCACTTTTTAAAGTTGTGGGAGTCCTTCCAGCGAATCATTGAATCTTGGGGGTCGTGGGGACCCCCGATTCAACCCGAGATCCAGCTGCTTCTAAAGCTGTCCTGTATCTTTTCTCCATGTTGGTTTGAGTCAGATTTTTTGGTCACTTGTTTGTCACCTGTCAGGATTCTTGACAAAGGCTGGGCTGACTAGTCCCATTTTACAGATACAGAAAACTGAGGCCAGAACTGAGGAAGTCACTTGCCCAAGCAGACCTGCCCCTGAGGTCCTGTCTGCTCACCGCTTGGGCCACCTCTCCAGGTGCCCTCACCTTGATGAAGAGCCGCCACCACTGCCAGTGTCTCAGCTTGAGGTAAGCCGCACAGTTCCGCTGCATCACCCTCAGGGCGCTCTGCTGTTGCTGCCGCTTCTGGAAGGCCCTGGGTGGGGAGATGGGCAGGTGGGGGAGTGGAGGCTTGGCCCCTCCAGGCCCTGTCCCCTGAGCAAGGGAGCCAAGCTCTCTCCAGTTAGTCAACCATTATGAAATGCCTGCTGGGTGTGAGCACTGTTCTATTATCTAGAGACCTTTTTTGTGTGCAAGTCCATCAGTCCTGTCCTTGACTCTCTTGGCCCTGTCCCCTTGTCTCTGTCCCCACAGCCCCAGCTCCAGTTCAGACCTCACCTCCCACCACCTGGACCCTCACCCCAGCCTCCTCCGCAGCTTCCCAGCCTCCAGCCTGTCCCTGACATGCTTCCAGAGAGGTATTTCTACATCCACAGCTGACCTACTCCTCCCATGACTCCCCAGTGCCTCCGCACAAGGTCCCTGCCCTTCAGTGTGGTGTTTGGGGAGCCCCTTATTCCCTGATCCTTCCTCTGAGCCAGTTCCAAGAGAGAAGCAGTCTCTGCAAGCTCCCCACATTCCTGAAATATGCCAGATCCTCACGTCACCAGGCCTTGGCACCAGCTGTCACTCCTACCTGGAACACCTTTCTCACCCTCCTTCGTCTCCCTGGTCTGCAGGGCCTCTCGCTGCACCTATTCAACCCTCATCAAAGCACATCTCACCCTGGACTGTGACACTTTGTGTGGGTGTATGTCTCCCCCTCCAGATTGGAATCCCTCGAGGGACTGGCCATTAAGGTGACCCCTTCAACCTGGTTTGCCTGGAGGCTTACTCTGTTTTAACATGGAAAGTCATGCATCCTGGGAGACCTCCGGTACCAGGCAAACTGGGACAGTTGGTCACCCTGAGGCTGAGTCTAGCTCTTCTCTGTGTTCCCAGCATCACTCAACATAGGGTCTGCCCGTAGGAGCCTCAGGGACTACAGAACCATGAAGCCTGGACACCTAGTGGCTCCATCCTTTTGTTTCTCAGCCCATCTACCATCTTGGAGGGCTTGACATCTAGAGCTATCTAGTCAACTCCTCCCTGCCCAGCCTCTGGGCCATCTGGACAACCCCTCCCTGACCCAGCCTTGGTCAATGTGACCCAAGAGATAGTGCGGAGCCCCACTTGCGAGCCAGGTATCCCCGGGCAGCTGCCTGGAAGGACACGATGATGTCTGTGACCTTCAGGTCCCGCTCCTCTTCCAGCTGTGCCAGAACCCCCGCCCGGAAGAAGATCTTGCTCTGTCCCACACGGTAGAGGTTGGGGTCCAATTCTAGGGCCTGGATCTGTGATGGGTGGGGGAGGGGTTTTGAGAAGGAGGAGTGATGAGACTGGAGGTCCCAGCTCCTCACCACCACCACCTGAGACCGTGGCAAAGGTGTATACACACACACACACACACGCACACAAACACCTGCCACCCCCCCCAGCCTCCACTAAACACTCACCATCTTCTCACAGGCCTGTTTCCCATCCATGAAACCCTTGGGGATGGCATTGGGTGTCAAGATCTCATACCTGCAGCGGGTAGGGAGGCATGGAGGGTAAGGAAGAGTAACAGCAAACTGTGCCCACAGCCAGGCACTGGGCTCAGAGTGACAAATAGCAGTAACAGTGACAGCAATAAGAACAGTAAGAAAAACAAACATTACCAAGGATGACACACCAGGCTGAGAGCATTACCACCACCACCAATGGCAACATTGACAGTAAAAGCTCCCACTCCTTGGACACACTGCGTGCTGATTGAGTGTTTAATTAGACCACCACCATATGTCCCCGAGACATAAAGCAAAGGTGAGTCTCCGAATGGAAGTGTGAGAGTAACAGCAAATTGCAGCTGTTTTTGAGCTCATTATTTGTCGAGTCCTGAGCTAAGTGCTTTCCAGTTGTTTCTTTCACGTTTCTGAGTACAACTCAGAATTTTGAAAGGACATTTCATAAACATACACATATCTGTCCTTAGAGCCTTTCCTCTGCTGTGCCCTCTCCAGGATCTTGACATGTCATTAAAAATAATGCATCTGATATATACAATATATACACATACATATGTACACATATAATATGTAATACATTAATATTAATTAATTGATATTTAATGACTGGTATTGAGAAACTTGCGTGTATTAGAGTTTCTCAATCACCAGGGATCTTGTCAAAATGCAGATCTTAATTCAGTAAGTCTGAGGTAGGGCCTGAAAATCTGCACATCTAACAAGCTGCCAGGTAAGGCTGATGCTGCTGGTCCGGGGACCACACTTTGAGTAGGAAACTGCAGACTTGCAGCAATGCAGCAGCTACTGGCCACAGGCAACTACTGAGCCCTTGGGACATGGCTGGGGCAGTTGAGGAACTGGGGTTTTAATTGCATTCTCTTTCAATTAAGAGCAATTAAAATTTACAAACTGAAGCAGTGTAAACTATTTTTCTGTTAAACACAATTTCATTGTTTTGATAGGATTCCATTTCACCATGACCACTGGAAATTTAGTGTCTGAACTGAAATGCACTATGGGTGGAAGGCACACATATTTCAAAGACTTAGTAGAAAAAAAAAGAATGCATAATATCTCATTTTTTATATTGATTACATGTTAAAGTTGTTTAATATCTTGGATGTACTGGATTAAATAAAATGTCTTGTTATCATTAATGTCACCTGTTTCTTTTTAGTTTTTTTAATTTTTTCTTTTGGATTTTTTTTACTTTAAAAATATGGCTACTGGAAAATTTTAAATTGTATACGGGGCTCATGTTCTATTTCTTACGGGTGGTGCTGCTATATACAGCTTGTGTAAAGCATAATTTTTGTAATAGTATTTACCATATTACTGGCTTCTTATACATTGATATTTTCTGTTCTATCCTGTTCCATCGCATTTTCATAAGAAATGCCGACTGCAATTCTCTGCAACACAGTGCTCTATGCCCCTTCTCTCTGGGAACGCACTGAGTGGGACACTGCCCTCCCATATCACAAATGAGAAAACTGAGACTCAATAACCAAAAGAACTTGCCCACTCTCACCCTCCACCCGACTCAGAAGTAGCAGGGTGAGGGGGCTTTGGATGCAGCTATGGTGGCTTCCAAACCCAAGCCCCATCCCACCCCACGCTTCTCACCGCTGCCGGAACTCCTGGAAGAGGATGCGGTTGGGAAAGCCCTGGCGACAGATGCGGATGCCCTCCAGGACCCCGTTACAGCGCAGCTGGTCCAGCACCAGCCGAGGCTCCAGCTTCCCGGCCTGCGGAGAGCAGTGACAGACACGCAAGCTCAGTGGTGGCCACACGGGGGCGCCACGCATCAGACGACAGCCGTCAGGGGAACTCAGCTGGATGGCAGTTCTGGCAGGTCACAAATGGTTGGCAATTTCATGGGGTTCCACCTATAATTCATTGAGAACCTACTACGTGCCAGGCAGAAATGCCTGTCCTGGGGGAGCTCAGAGTCCACTGGGAGAGACCGACAATAAATGAGGTCAAGACATCACTAATCAAGAGGAAGCGTATAGTTCAAGTGGTAGAGCGCATGCTTAGCATGCATAAGGTCCTGAGTTCAATTCCGAGTACCTCCATTAAAGAAAAAAAAATCAAACAAATAAACCTAATTACTCCCCTATCCCACAGAAAAAAAGAAAGACATCACTAATCAAATACAAGCCACTATCAATTGTAAAACACACTGATTTCATATACCACCAAGAAAGAAAAAATCTTGTCAATTAAACTCAGACAGGCCACAAATTTTAAGCCACATCACAACTTCAGAGATACTAAAGTGTCAGAAATAAATGTGTCTTAGATTTGATAAATATGGTATCTGAGACATGAGAAAGGACACACACACACACACACACACAAAGAACCACCAACCCAATAACCACAGCTTCTACTTTCTGAGTCCAATAGAAGCCCCAGGCACCTAATTTCGGAGTTTCAACTTCCACTCATGCTAACCCTTTTCCACAGGGCCTATTCCCTGATTTTCTCAACAAGAAAACCTCTTGGTGGCCTGGGATACCAGGCATGGTCTCCTCACACCTACTTGACACCCCCAGCCCCAACAGCCTTCTTTCCATCTCTTACACCTTTCAAGCTCCAAACAACCACTGGGCTTTTGCACAAGCTGTTCTCTGCTTAGAATACCAGTTATCGTTCAGAGCTCAGACCCCACCTCCTCCAGGGAGACTTCCCTGACTTCACTGACTAGATTAATTCTGATGTGACAGTCACCACTTCTACAAATTCAACTGGACATTCAGTGTAAGTGGCTAGTTAAATGTCTGTGCTCCAGATTAGACTGAGAAAATGGGGTTGGCTGTGCTTTCCTCTCTAATGTAGCCCTACTATCTGGCACTTAGTAGGTGTTCAATAAAACATAAGTCCTGTGAAAGAATGAATTTTCCAAAGAGGGCATTGAGCCTGGTAGAGAAAGCAACTTGCTCAAGGTCATGCAGCCAGTCAGAGGTGAGCCTGAGACGAGACATGGCTCCCCAGCCAAGTCCAGTGTCTGGGGCGTAAGGCCATTTTGCCAGAGCCGCATCTGCTTCCCAGGCCGGGTCACTCACCCTCTTCTCGTGGTTGGGGATGATACAGCGCACGAAGCTGGGGTTGGTGTTGCTGAGTGTGGCCATGAGGCGGCTGAGGGACTCCTTGTAGAGCTGTCCCACCGTCCGGAACATGCCTCGGCGGGGGCGGCCACCAGGTGGGACATCCCCCAGGCTGCTCACCTGCTCCAGCCCCACAATGCCCTCCACTGTAGAAGGAGGAAACATATGTAGAGAAAGAATAGGGTCAGGGGTCAGTTGTAGGGAGCTGGACTGGCTGAAGATCAAGGGTCTTACCATGTACAGGACCTGACATTTTACATATGAAACAACTCTCCCAGACTAGTAAGGTAGGTGTCATCAGCCCATTGGACTGATGGACAAACTGAGGCTCAGAAAGATGGAAGATTGTGCCCAAGGCCCCACAGCTTAGGATCTGAAGATCCAGGATCTGAACCCAGGCCATGTGAGTCCTCTTAAACCCGACCTCTGACCCATCTTCTCCATTTCCCTTATTAGCAAATGACAATGGTGTCAGCAAAGGTTTGCTCAGCATTCACTCCCTGCCAGGCCCTGCTCAAAGCACTTTACATACATCAGCTTATTTAGAAGCCTATAAAAATCATTCCCATTTTATAGATGAGGAAATCGAGGCACAGAGGGGGGAAAAGTGAGAACCACTGCCATGTTGTATTTTTAGGAACCCGAAACACTGTCATGTGAAAATGTACCCAAGTCTGGCTTTAATCACAATATTTAAAAGAAGGCAAACTGCCTCTATTTTCACCATCTTCCCAGAAAGGCCCGATTTCATGGTAACTTTGTTTCCTCTATTTAGTGGTGTCGTTTCAGCTAGTGAGAAATATCAACTTCTTTGCTGCAAATTCTATGTATTGAATCCTGCCCAGTTTCTCCAGAATCTACAGTTGGGGCAGCTTCTCGTGTCCTGGAAGCCTCCATCCTGAAGGTCACTGGGGGTCAACCAGATAACTTGCTTGGAGGGCAGAGCTTGCGCACAGTTGGGGCTCGGATATGTGGTATTGTTGCTTCCTGGGTTCAGTTGTCCCTCCCACCACCACACTCCGGTTATTATTAAAATGATCATTATCATTCGTTTTCTGTTTCTTTTTCCTTTGTTTTTTGCAGGGGGAGGTAATTAGGTTTGTTTGTTAGTTTGTTTATAGTGGAGGTCCTGGGGATTGAACTCAGGACTTGTGCATGCAAAGCACACGCTCTACCACTAAGCTCTACCCTCCCTCCTGCATTGTCATTTATTAAGTTCTTGGAGCACAGGTAAGAGCTGAGGCTCTGGGTTCAAATCCCAGCTTTGTCTATTCCTGGCTGTGTGACCTCAGGTGGGTGATTTAACCTCTCTGTGCTTCCATTTCCTCGACTACGGTGAGGGTAGGAGTACCCACACCTGCCTGATTGGGTCATCTGGAGGATCCCATGTGTTCATATTGGTAAATGGGCTTTGCACATTGCATGGCACATAGTACATACTCAGTTAATGCCAGCTGCTATTAGCACAGTTGTTTGCACTTTTATATGCTGTTTGGTTAGAAGAAGGCCTTGTGCTACAAGAGTCTGGAACCTGCTGAGGGAGCTAACAAGGTGGGGAAAGAGGAGGGTAAGACCTCCATATGGGGAGGACAGGGGACAGATATCCAAAACCAGGTTCTGGTCCAAAGGGCCCACCCTCCTCGTCCAGCAAATCTCACCCGTTGATGCACAGCAACACCCACCCCCTGACGGAGAAATGGCAGAGCTGTGCCTCCCTGGAGATCCTGGGGGCGACGGTGGGAAGGAGCCCAGGAAAGAGAACTGCTGCAAGCCCCCGTGCTCTGGGTGTGAGGACAGATTGGGGGGAGGGCAGAGACAGGGGGCGGGAGATGCAAAGGGAGCAGCATCAGAAGAGGAGAGGGAGAGAAGGTGGCAGGAAGGAGAAAAGAAGACAAGGTTATTAGTCAGCAGCACAGAGCAAAGCAGGAGGGGAAACCTGAATGTTAGCCAGGAACGTTTAAAGCCAGGGAGACTGCCCTGTTCATCTTTGTGTCTACCACTGAGCGCATCAATGTTGGCTGAAGGGACAAATGTCCTCTGTGAGGATTTAATGCCAAGGGAAAAAAAGAACTCTCTGTCTAGAGGTTGAGTCTAAATCTGTTTTATTAGGTATCCCTTTTTTGCCCTGGCTGCCAGGAAGCTCAAGGACTAACTCTAGGCTCTCAGCTTGTATTTGCCTCTCTGAAGAGAGCTTGTCTCATCTGGCTTTCCCCCTGGGCTGCCAGAATGCTGGGTATCCAACTCTGGGCTGTCAGGATGCCAGAGAGCAAAGCCATCTCTGGGCTCAGGGCAGCTGTAGGAGAGATTGATGAAAAACTGGTCCCAGTTCCCCACCGCTCTCTGCAACTTGCAGCTCCAGGAATCTGAGCTGGCCGCGTGACTTGCTTTGTTCCGAACTATGGAGGAATTAACGCTGTGTCTGGTTCCAGTAGGACTCATGAGGCTTTGCCACTTCCACTTTCTCTCCTGGAACCCTTTGAGAGCCAAGTATATATATGGGGTGGAATATGTGAGGGACTGGGGGGCATCATGTGTCCATGAATGGGGCATAGATTTTAAAGAAGCTGAAAGGGGAGATTGTCAGTCTAAAGGAGATGATTCTCAGCAGATTCTGGTTCTGTTACCGAACATCAAACACTGTTTTTTCAACCCCTCTTATGTAAGTTATTTGAGACATTAACACCAAATTTCTCTATCTAAAAGCAGCTTACCCTATCTAGCTGCCCTATGCCCTTTTCCCTCTGAATTCGTTTTGGGAATGACCCATTTTCCTTATTTTTTTCTCCTGTCTAATCACATGGGCTGGCACGTCTACTACTACACTTTTCACTTCAATAAAAGATTAAGGTAAACTGACAGATTCTGGAAACCCGGAATCAGAAAAACCAAGTTACTGGTTCTACCACTTTTATAAAATCATCTCTCAAACCTCCTCTAAGGATGGGAGGCATGGATGCACAAGGCTTTTCTGTCCACCTCTTAGGAGTGTCAGTCTGAAAAGACTGATGGCCAAACTCATATGGGCCTTGTTGGAGCAAGAAAACTCCAAACTAATATCTTGGGTTTTGCTGCTTTTTAATTCTCCTGGAGTCCTGAAGGGAACTGAAAACAAAGACTAAAAGTTGACTAATGTGTAAAACACCACCTGTCTGGGTTCTCTTGTTGTCCTTAATTCTTTTTCAGTAGAATCTCTTGATTTTTTTTTTTTAGAGATCATATGTCACCTACAATGAATACCTTCATCACTTCCTTTTGAATATTCATATACCTATTTCTTTTTCTGGTCTGAGTGCATCAACCAATATCGCCAAAAACGTGTTTCACAGCAGTGTTGACAGTGGGCATCCTTGTCTCGTTTCTGATTAAACAGGAGTGTTTTACCATCGAGTGTGATGCTGGCTTGAGCTATCAATCAATCAATCACTAATTGGAAAAGCTATTGTGAGACTGTCTCTCCTGCTGGCACTAGTTCAGCATCTGAGCAGACAACTCAGGTTCAGAACTCAGCTTGGAACAAAAGCGTTCCTACTGTGGGTGGGGAGAAGGGATGCACAGAGCCTCAGGGAGACCGGACCCGAGGAAGCTGATCCTTACCATCTTTCCAAATCTCTGCAGTTAGCCGGTCTGTGCTCTGGTGAAGCAGGGCTGCGACGTTGTCATTCAGAGGGTCCATGTTTTTCATCAGCCACTCATTGGCCTTGTAGTCGACCTGGATGAAGTCGGGCAGAGGAGGGGGCTGAGATGGTGGGTTCACCAGCTCTCCAGATTCCCCAAGGGGCCTCCCAGAAGCGCTTAGACTCCCGCCCAGCTCTGGGGCTCACCACTCACGTGAGAGCGTTGGTGTCACCTTGTGTCCATATCCTGAACTGCACCCTCCACCAGCAGGGCCCTTTCTCCCTTTACGGATTTCCCTTACCAGGACTCTGCCCACCTCCATGACATCACCCACCATCCCTTCTTTACTTATTCATTCTACACCAGCCACACTGCTCCTCAAACATGAGATCTCATTTCCACCTCAGGATTTTTATCCCTGCCTTTTCCGCCACCTGTGATTCCTTCACCGTGGACTTTTACACGGCTGGCTCCTTCTCCACGGAGTCACAGTCTTGACCCATGGTTCTCTGCACGTGCTCCTGCGACCAGACAGTGGCTCCTGGAGGCCAGGGCCCGAGTCTGACTCATAGCCCAGCACACAACTGGGCACACGTGCAGTCTCAGGCAATGTTTGGGAAGCAAACTGAGCTCTAGAAAGGAACCCACGGGTCTTGTACATGCTATTCCCTCCTCCCAGAGAGCCCTTCCCACCCTCCTCCCGTCCTCTGCTGGCTACATGTTTCTCATCATTTAGACCAGGGATTGGCAAACTATGGCCCTCAGGTCAAATCCAACCTGCCACCTCCTTTTGTAAATAAAGTTTTATTGGAATGCAGCCTTCGTTTCTGTGTGACCTGTGACTTCTTTTGGGCTATAATGGCAGAAATGAGTAATTGTGCCAGAGACTGTCTGGCTTACAGAGCTGAAACTATTTCCAGAAAATATTTGCTGACCCTTGATTTAGACTCTACATCAAGCATTACTGTCCTCTGTGAGAACTTCCCTGGCATATCTATAGTGTCATTTAATCCCCCATTAAAGCACTTATCAGCCTTATAGCCCAGTGATCTGTATTCATCTCCCTCCTAGATAACAAAATTTGTCAGGATGGAATCATGTCTGACTAGGGTCCAGCTTTGCTCAGCACAGGACTGAGCACACAAAAGGCAGATGTTTGCCAAATACGTTAGCAATATGCTCCTAATTCTCCTCTTGAGGAACTCCTATCCATCCCTCAAACCCTACTGCAAATATCCCCTCCTTGAGGAAGTCTTTGCTGATTTCATCAAACAGAGAGTCCTCACTCCTCCTTCCTAGCCCCTGACCTGGCTGTGATTTGTCCCAGTGGACATCAGGTGGCCTCTGCTTTCCCTCTGCACCCTCCATGCATCCTCACTCCCACCCACATGCCCCAAGGCTGGCCCCCACTCCCTACCTTGCCCGCATAGTGCAGGACGCTGAAGTCAGCCTGATCCCGCAGGTGCCTTGGCCGCTGGAACTTGGGGTGACCACCTTGCTCTTGGGCCACCTTCTCCACAAAGGACTTGTCTGTGGCCTTTGGAAACCAGCACTCTTCATCCAGCAGGGCCAGGAGTCCAGGGGGGTTAGCCTGCCCATCAACAAAAAGTGGTGGGGGGAAAGAGTAAGTCAGATCCCCAAATATTGGATACTTAGGTTGCTGCTAAATTTGAGGTCATGTGACACTTGGGATCTGCAAGAAAACACGACAATAGTGACAGCTATAGCCCTCGATCAGCCCTTTGATTCGAGCCAGGCCCCGAGGCAGGCATGTTCTGGGTTCCAAACATCTAGGGGCCACGCAGATCTGTGCCATCTTCCCCTCTAAATTGACGGAGAGGCCCGGCAGGGTGAGGAGCTGGACCCAAGTCACTGGCAGATGCTAGAGGAGACACGTGTGAGCTGTGGGTTGAGAGAAGCCCTGGGCTCACCGGCCGCTCGATGAGGTCGATGCAGGGCTGCAGGTCGAGGCCAAAGTCCAGGAAGGTCCAGGGGATGCCCTCGCGCTGGTACTCCTCCTGCTCCAGGACGAACATGGTGTGGTTGAAGAGCTGCTGCAGCTTCTCGTTGGTGTAGTTGATGCAGAGCTGCTCGAAGGAGTTCAGCTGCGGGAGGGGGAAGGACACATGAGAGATGGGGCAGAGAACACAGAGGGCGGGGACAGGGCCAGCCTGATGGAGCTCTCCAGCCCCCAGCCCCGCATAAGGTACAGACCTGGAAGATCTCGAAGCCAGCAATGTCCAGGATGCCCAGGAAGGAGGCGCCCTGGCGAGGGCTGCGGTCCAACGCTCGGTTGAGGCGCAGGACCAGCCAGCGAAACAGGCGCTCGTAGGTGGCCTTGGCCAGGGCCTCCAGCGCGAAGTCCGCCTGCGAGGAGGGCACACAGTGAGGACCCCGCCTGCACATCGGCAGCCCCAGTCCCTCCCCGAGGGCCAGAGAGGAGACACTGGGTGTGGACGGGGCCCCCTCGTGGTTCATCAAGAATGGTGACATTAACAATGGCAGACCAGGGTGAAGGGTATAGCTCAATGGTAGAGTGCCTGCTTAGCATGCACGAGGTCCTGGGTTCGATTCTCAATACCTCCAGCACCTCCATTAAAAAAAACCCAAAAAACAAAAACCACTACTGAAGCCCTACTGTGCACCAGGCACTGTATGAAGAGCTTGGGGGCATATTAGCTCTTACTCCTCCCCCAAACCCTTGAACCAATTTCCAGAACGGTTAAGAAGAGCCTGACACCTAGGTTAGAATCCCAGCTCTGCCCCTTAGAGGCTGCGTGGCCTCTGGCATGTGAATAAATCTCTCTGTGCCTCAGGAAATGGATCCTAACAATAGTACCTCAACTGAGAGGGAACCCGGGTCAGTGTGACCCCCAATCTCATATTCCCAACTGTGCCTTCTCTGGCCCAGCGCCAAGGCTGGATTCTGAAAACATCTAGCGTGCTTTCAGATCTCCCCACTCCCACTGCCACTACCTTTGTCTGAGCTGCCATTGCTTGCCTGTGTAGACAAGTGGCCTCCTCGTGTCTCTGCCTCTATTGGTGACCCCTGGACCCAATTCTCCATAGTTGGCAAAGGAATCTTTATACAAGACAAACTGAATCAAGTTGCTCCCTGGCTTAAATCCTCACTGGTCTCCTGCTGCCCTGTGAATAAAACTCACCTCCTTACAGTGGCCTGTAAGACCTTGTGTGATCTGTCTCCTTCCAAACTCTCTGACTGCAGCTTCTACCACCTTCTGCCCCACTCTAGCCTCAATGACCTCCTTAATGTTCCCAACTTGCCAAGCTTGTTCCAGCCCCAGGGCCTTTACATATGCTATTCCCTCTGCCTTAAATCATCTAGGTCTCAACTCAAATGTCACCTCCTCAGAGAGGGCTTTCCTGACTACTCTAATCCTCTCCTTCATAGAAAGTATCCTTATTTATTTATCTTCTTTTATTATCTGATTTGCTACTAGAGCCTGGGCTCCATGAAGGTGTGGTCTTTGCTTCCATGACTACTTTTACTTCCAGCACCTAGACCAGAGTAACCAAACAGACACTCAGCAAAAAAGTTTAAAGAGTGAATAAGAAAAAACTGGCATAAGGCACTTTAAAATCTAGGACCCTCCCTGCACCTGCCGGCCTCCAGCCTCGCCCACCTGTTCCTTGGTCTGTGCTTTCTGCACGTAGTCTCGGCCAACTTTGATGCGGGGGGTGAGCAGGGCGCGGGAGAAATCGGTCACCCCCAGGCCCAGGAGGCGGCAGAGCTTCTGTGCAGCTGAGGGCGAGAGACATCAAGATCCCATCAGCACTGGGAAATGGGGCCAGCATGGATTGGGGAAGAGAGTGCCACCCCCCAACTCTGAGTGGGACAGAAGATGGACCCAGCCTTTCCCACTAGATGCATCACAGGTCCTAAAAGCATGTGTATTCTCTGGCCTAACAATCACCCTCCTGGGACCCCCTGTTGGCAAATAGAAACCTGGATGTGAGCAATGGCTGGACTAGGAGGATGTTTGTCACAGCGCTGTTTATGATGGAGAAAACCAGGAAACAACCTGAATGCCCAACAGCTGGGGACTGGTAAGAGAGTCGAGGTTCATTCATTTGAAAAAATGTTCTGCAGTCACTAAATAGTATTATTATAAATAGTTATTATTTAATAAATACTATCAACTATAATATGACTATAAAGTGTATGATTATAAAGTATATATAAATTATTATAAATAATTGTTTATAACTAATAAATAATAATTATAAACAATTATTTTAAATTATTATTTAATAAATAATATCTATAAATATATGTAACAAATACTTAATAAACATTAATATTAAAATTAAATATTAAATGAAATGAAATGAAATATTAATTACTAATTATAAAACTATTGTTTAGTAATTATTATTTAATAAATAGAAATGATAATTATTTAATAAATATGTATTATAAATAATTGCTCAATAATTATTAAATAATTATCACAAATAATTGTTCAATAAATATTTAACAAATATTAATTATAAAACTATCATTTAATAAGTATTATATACACATTATTATTTAATAAATACTTATTATAATTGTTTAATAATTAACAAATAATTAACATAATTATTGTTTACTTAATTATTTAATAAACAATGATACATATTTATTTAATAATTATTTGTTAAATAATAATTATTATAAATTATTACATGGTACACTTAAGATGTGTGTATCTCATGATGTGTATGTTTCACTTCAAATCCAAGAAAGAATTGTAAATAAATACTGGACGCCAGTAAATGACATGCAGGCTGTAGGATGTAAGGGTGAATGACCCCAATACCTGAAATGCACCAGAAAGTAAGATGGATAAACAGAGGATGGAAAGATTTTCCATAAAGCAAGTGTAGTAACAATGTCAATGGCAGAATCTAGGCGGTAGGTCTGGGTGGTTCACTATGACTTTGAACTTCTCTGTATGTTTGAAAATGTCCCTATAAAATATTGGGGGGAAAGATCTTGTAATAAAACTTCACTGAAGTGGCCAAACACAATAGAAATCTTTAAAAATGCATCACTTCGGGGGGAGGGTATAGCTCAGTGGTAGAGCACCTGCTTAGCATGCATGAGGTCCTGGGTTCGATCCCCAGTACCTCAATTTAAATAAATAAGTAAATAAATACCTAATTACCTCCCCCCCAAAAATAAAGCTAAACTTAAAAAAAAAGCTAGCACAGACGACGACACTGCCAGTAATAGGACACCTTAACAGAGCTCTCAGCCTTTAGTGGGTTCTTTGCCAGCTGATGAAAATTAAGGGCTGCTTCTCTGATTAACGTTTGCAAAGGCAGAAAATGAAATACACAGAATCTTAAAGGAGATTAATTATACTAGCAATCAGTTCTCCCCAACAGACCCCAGATGAAGAAACCCCAGTAGCTATTTCCATTTGGATTTTAAAAAGAGGAACATCAACTATACTTCTGCTTTTGAAAAGCAAAAAATAAAAAATTAAAAGGTACATGCGTGCAGAGCACAGAGGCCAGGAGGAGATACGCCCAGCGCTAACGGAGGTTCCCCATCAGCTGGGAGGGGCGAGGACGACAGAGGATCCCGCTGTTCCCCCTCCACCTCGTTTTGGCTCACTGGTGGTGTTCACATTTTCAGCAGAGCTCATACTTCTTATAATCAAGAAAAGAGTGGAAGATGTTCCTTTGATAAGGACTCAGCAGAGGGCAGGAAATCCACCAGCAGAGGACAGGAGTGGTCCTGGGTTGGAGACAGGTCTGGCTGGGGAGGGGTGCTCTCTACGTGGCGGGAGGGGCAGCAGGAAGGTGGCGGTACCTGTGTTGTCAGGCATGGAGGCTTGGTCGGTGTTTCGCTCTCTTTTCAGGACGATGTTGCCAAACTGGAGAACTGCAGAGACCATCCGCAGCATGGCTAAGGGGCAGCAGAGAGAGAAAGAGATCACGCGTGGCTCCGGACCCTGATGTGTGGTCTTAACCACCCCCTTAGAAATCTAGCTTAAAAATCCAATGTTGGGGAGGGGTGGGTAGAGTGCATGCTTAGCGTGCACAAGGTCCTGGGTTCAACTTCCAGTACCTCAATTTAAAAGGAAAAAAACCCCGATGTCAAATCAAACCACCGCCTGACCCTGGGCAGGTGCTTTTTCTTTAATTTTTTTTGCAGGGGGTAGGTAATTAGTTTTTTTTTTTAAATCGGAGGTACTTTTTAAAATGATACAAATGAATTTATTTACAAAACAGAAACAGACTTAACAGACACAGAAAACAAATTTATGTTTACCAAAGGGGAAAGGAAGGAGGGATAAATTAGGAGTTTGGGATTAGCAGACACAAACTATTATATATAATATAGATAACCAACAGGGTCCTGCTGTATAGCACAAGGAACTACATTCAATATCTTCTTCTTAAACTGAAGTACAGTCAGTTACAATGTGTGAATTTCTGATGTACAGCATAATGTCCCAGTCATGCATTTATTTACATATATTTGTTTTCATATTTTTTCATTAAAGATTATTACAAGATATTATCTTGTAATATCCTATAATGAGAAAGAATATAAAAAAGAATACACATATGTATAACTGAGTCACTTTGCTGTACACCAGAAACTAACACAACACAGTAAATCAAATATACTTCAATTTAAAAAAAAAAAAGGCAGAGGATTGCCTCGTGGGACCTCAATTGAGTCTGCACTGGGCAAGTCAAAACTTTCACCCTTTTGTGAATGACCACATTGACCACAAAAGCACCAGGATTATTGATTTGGGAGTTACAAATACAGTTAGTGTGCATGAGAATTCTCAAATGGGGAAGTCGCAAATCAAGATGTACTGTATTTGCTTGTCTGTGCAGAATCGAGAAATCTCACCCTAACTGGGTGATGCTGCCCCCGAGAGGATGTCTCAGGAACTTGCAGGGATTGTTGGCACAGTGATGGGGGCCACCAGGCAAGGTATTGGGGTGTGTTTCTGGATGTCACAGAGACTGGGCAGGTGGGGACCAGAAGATCCATCAAGATCATAACTCCTTGTGGAAAGTATCTTCTAATCGTGTCCTCCGCATACAGTAAGCAATCCATAAATGTGTTCATGAATGAACTTAAGCTTGCCTCTTTGGGGGGAAGAATTCCTTCTATGTCCCCACTACTTCTGGGATTCAGTCTAACCCCTTATCAGGGTCTTAGGCACCGTGTCCCCAACTCTCCCACCTACTCCAGTTTGGGGACCCCTCACTCACTCCAAGAAGCCATGCCGATCTCCTTCCATTTCCGCCAACAGGTGACACTCTCTTGCCCCCTGGCCTTTGCCCTGACAGTTCCCTCTACCAAGAGGCTGTCCAGCACCATCTACACCTGCTTAATTCTTGACCGTCAGAGCTCAGCCAACAGCCACCTCCGCCAGCAGCTGCCCCAACCCTTCCAAGACCCCCATGACACATCGTTACTGCTCTAGGACCTCCCAGCTGTCACTCTTCCATGGGATCAACTTTAATTTGTGCATTTGTATCCTGTGACGCTCCCTGGGGCTCAGCACTCCAGGGGAAAGGGGCTTGTTCTGTCTTGGTCATGGTTAGCTTGGCGGCCCCAGGCTGCAGGGGTCTGGCCCAAAGACTCCATCAAGTGTCGACTGAATCAATAGACTAAAGATGAACGGCAAGGAGTTCACTAGTCGGGGTACATTATTAAACAGTGGGAGTTTGCTGTGTGGCCTTGGGCATGCCGGGGAGCCTCCTGGGCCTCGGTTTCCCAGCTGGACAGTGGGAGGGGCTGGGCTCATCCGTCTCCGTTTCTACCTGTTTGGGGGGGTCAGGGGCTGGGTGGACCAGGACAGCGGAGAGTCCTGGAAATATTGGTTTTGATGGGGGTGGGGCAGGGAAGCACCTTCCGAAAGAAATAAATGACATCTCCTTATAGACCCATAACTGGCATAATCACCCCTAACAAACTGAGTGGCCGTTCATCCTTAACCTCAGCTCAGATGCCGCCCAGACTCGAGTTCCCCTAGTGACCTTTAAAATGGCCTTTTACAGTTGGCTGAGGAACCTGCATTGGTGCCAAGCATCCGGGTGAGTCTGACGCTGAGGACTTGGCAGTCAGCCCTCGCGGGTGACTTCAGACCAGCCGACGACAGTGAACAAGTCCCAGCCTGCGCTGGCGTTGGCAGAGGCGTGGGGCTAGTCGTGCTGCGATGGCCTCAAGTGAGCAGGAGCTCGCCTCCCTGTGTGCCAGGCTCTCTGCTCAACCCCTCAGGGTGTCACTGACGGTGCCAACGCGGACAGAGATGGGAAGTGGGGAGGGAGATGGAGGTCCTGCCTCCACTGGCCCCCGAAGCTCTCTGCCCCCAGGCTTCCCACAGGTGACCCAGAGGCGCCCTCTTGCCTCCCTGGGAACGGATCACCGGTCAGCTTTGGAGTCAGTCCCGGGTTCCACCGCCTCTTTGAAGTGAGTCCTAAGGCAGACATCCCACCTCCCTGGACCTCCGTCTCTTCTTTTGTCAAAAGGAGAGTCTAGGAAAAGGTGACCGGCTGACTCCACTCTTCGCAAGTGAAACACAAACTAAAACTGTTATGAGACCCCATCCACCTGCCGCACCAGCAAAAGCAAAAAAGCTCACGACAGTGGTTGCTGGCTTGCGCGTGGGGAAACAGGTGCACCGGATATCTGGTTGGCGAAACTGGAAACTAGCGCCACCTTCTGGACGGCGATGAGGTCGATTCAATACAATTTAAAAAACAGTCGGGGTTGGGGGAAGGGAAAGGAAGTGGTTAGAGACGAAAGCCAAGAAGTTATCAGCTGATAATTGTTGGATCTGGTGCCAGGTGCCCGGGGGTGTTCGTTACCCTCTGCTCTCTACTTGCATACGTGTTTGAAAATTTCCGTGATAAAAAGATAAGAATCAAAATTATTCAGCAATAAAAAGGAAAGAAGCCCGGATACTTGCTACTATATGGATCAACCTTCACACTATCACCCCGAGTGAAGGAAGTCAGCCGCAAAGGATGACGTACTGTATGATTCCATTGATCTGAAAGGTCCAGGATAAGCAAATCCTTAGAGACAGGAAGCAGAGCTGTGGTTCCCAGGGGCCAGCAGTAGAAACTGGCAGGTGATGGCAAAGCCGTGCAAGTTATCCTCTAGGGCCACTGAAAATATTCTAAATTGTGATTGTGCTGATGGCTGCACAACTCTGTGATGGTACTAGAAGCCACTGACTTGCACAGTTTAACGAAGTGAATGTTATGGTATGTGACTGACATCTCAATAAAACTGTTGACTGTTGGTGGGAATGTAATTTGGTG